TTGCGGGGAAGAATTTATATTGTTTAAAGCCAATTTATTTTCTGACAATATTAAGCATATGAATAAAGGAATGAATCACGAATGAGAAAAAAATTAGTTAATAATTTTTCAAATTAAACAACTTTCTCGAAAAACAAGTTGGATTTATTTTATTTATATAAAATTTAATTCACAGAATATTCTCACTCATAGTCTCATAATGACTTTAAAAACAGTATCCTGAGTATATCTTCTTGACATCCAGAAGATATACTGAGAATATTCTGAAAATATCTGTGGGATATCCTGACGATATCTATGGGATATCCTGATTCTATCTGTGGGATATCCTGACGATATCTATGGGATATCTGGAGCACATTTATGAAAGTCTATAGAGATATCCAGAAGATATCCTGTGGATATCCTCAGATATCCTCAGATATCCATGGGATATCCAAAGGATATCCTTAAAAGATCCTTTTGATATTCATAGGACATCCCTAGGATATCTGCGGGATATTATCAATATATCCCAAGATATCTTGTGTTATTAGGGTGCGTACAATTTTTTGCTATGATGAATTTATTAAATTTTACTGATAAAATGAGTAAAACAAATTTTCACTTATCAATTATTGTAAAATTTAACTAATTTATAAAAAAACAGTCTGTCATTTAAAATTTTGATTCTTATTTCAAGAATATAATTCAAATTCTTATATATATATATATATATTTGTCATATATAGAATTAAAAAAAAATTTATTTCCATAAAATTAATTAGAAATGTAGATTTAAAATTGCAATCATATATACACTTCCTGGGATGATTCAAATCTTGACGTATATATGACTTGATTTAATAATTCTCACATTCAATAAATACTCATCAGTCAAGCCCTTATAATCATTTCTTGATGAAAAAAATTTAAAACTTGCGGTAGAAGTGAATTGTTTTTTTTTTTTAACTTATTAAAGTCATAATTTTTTTTTCACTGCAATCTGTCCTTGAGAATGATGATCCGTTTGTCATGAATCTGATGATTCTCCAAGGTTAACATTCTTTTTGATGAAGCGCACACCTCGCATTATACTTTCTACCCTTTTAAAAAATTCTCTCTTTCTTTCTTTTATACTCACTTGTCGAATATGTAACATTCTTTTCCTTGTAAAAATAAAATTACATGCTTTATCTGCGAATGAATAAATATATATATATATATGTGCGAAAGTGATGCTTCTGCGTGTGGCCAGGTGGAAAAAACCCCCTGAAAGTCCATAAATTAAAAAAAATGCAAAATAAATCAAAAATCAAGGTGAAAGTGAAAGGGAAAGTATATATATATATATATGCAAATAAAAGTACAATGTTACACATTTGACCCTCTAATTTGGCTCTCAAGTCACAAAAAAAGAAGAGTTGTTTTTATTTTCATTTTTTTGTGGAGTGAAAGTTTCTTTAATTTGAATTCTGATATAAAGAAGAATCTTGTAGTGTCTTAAAATTATCATCGTATAAATCATTTTTCATATTGGATGTTTATATACATATATATATATATATGTTATTCTTAGATGTGAAGATATATTTATAATTGTGATTTACATGCTTGACAATCAGTTGTTTTGTTCTTGGAAATAATGAAATAATCGTACAAGTAAATTACTTGTTATATTAATGAAGGACTCTATTTTCTGAACTTGCAATTATCCTGTAAATCATCCTTAACAGTCATTTAATATAACTAAACGATGAAAACAATATTTAATCACACTTCCAGGAGGATCTTCATTTTCTAACACATGCACATTCATGTCAATCAATTAATATTGTAATAAAAATTTAAAAGAGCCTTCACTTAACACTTTTAAAATCAGATATTTTCAGAATAATGAATAACTATTAGAATTTAAATCATATACTATACCTATTGCGCTTTTAAATTTAATTTCGTTCAATTTTTTTCCCCATGCTTTAATTAACACTTTTTAATTCTAATCACTACAGTGAGAAAAAAATTTGGTAATTAAAAAAAATTCATTATATTCAATGTTATAAATCAATTTTATAATATTTTTAGAGATATTTGCATTAAAAAATTATTGCTACATTTTTTCTCTTTTTCTTATTTCTTTTGATTCTACGAAAAAAAGTTCTTAATTTTTTTTTTACTCTAAAAATGTTGAAATTTATGAAAAAAAATTATTAAATTTTAATTAATTTATTTAAAAAATTAAATTGAATTTTGAGATTTAAACATGTTCTTCCTGTTTCTCAACTATGAAAAAAATTATGAATAAAGGTTGATAATGTAATGAAGACTTTCTGAAATTTTCAGCTTGGCGTTATTTTTTGTTTTCAAGATAAAAATCTTTAAACATTTAAATGCATGACTTTGAGGCGTAAAATGATCATTGTAACTCCTGGACCTTTCGAGGCGAAGGTTTAATTAATTTTTATATAGAAAAATGTTACATTTATGTGTCAAATAGTTTTTAATTACATTAAATAACTAAACATTTCCAGAGAAATAAATAAATTATTTCACTAAAAAAATTTTGGTGCAACAGTTGCCCCAAACGAAAAATTTTAATATTCAATGAACTTCACACTTAATATTTACCATGAGTTTTTATATGAGTGAATCTAACTGAATAAAGAAATTTTTCGTTTGAGATAGCTGCTGTACCAAAATTTTTTCAGTGAATTGCAAACATTTATTTAATTTTGTTAAAAGAATTTATATATTAGATGTAATTAATTATTTGCTTAAACTAATTAAAAATTTATTTTGTATTTATAAATAAGTGTCACTCAAAGTGTAATTGAAGTTATTTAAATCTAAATATTTTTTAGATACAAATAAAGAATGTTTAATAATACAAGGAAATTTTTTTTTATATAATTTGAATTAATTAAACCAAATATTTTGTTTAATATAGTTTATTATAATATGTTAAATAATTTTTGTCAATAATAGATATATTAAGAACAATTATAATTTAATTTTTTAATTACGATTTATTTTATTGTATCTTTAAAAAAACAATATTACGTATACGTATTTTTAATTAACACTTCATTCGAATTATATTTCTGAACATATGTAATATTCGAAGAAATAATTGTTTACCAATTTTATGATTATAAATTAAACTTGTTGATAGTATAATTGAAATTTCTATACTTTAATGTAAATTATGAACCATAAATGTAAAGATATTTCAAAAGAGTAATAAATTCTGTCAATATTGTAAAGAAAATGTAAGTTCACAAGAAGTTTACAGTGAGAATTAAATGCTTTTTAAAATTTGCCTTTACACTTTGTATATGGTGTTATTTAAATAATTCGCGAAATATTTAATAAGTATATGAAGAATAATTATTTACTATATATATATATACATATATACATACATATATATATATATATATATATATATATATATATATATATATATATATATATATAGGAAGAGAATGGTTCTTTTCTTCTTTTCAGTTCCTTTCTCTATATACATATAATAGTATTGCTTCTAAAATGCACTTTATACTGTAATCAAATCTTGTGTAGTATAATCAATTGCCATGAGAACGGGAAATTTTTTATAACATTAAATTAAATTAAACAGAAAAAATAATTTTAGAGTTAATTTTATGTTAGAAACAACTTAAAGTATGGTTATATATTTATTATTTATTTATAAGTAAATATAAGTTTGTTCTGAGGAGAATGTAAAGATGAATTATTAGAGAAAGAATCGAAACAAAAGTTAATATATATTTGTCGTCAGAATTATTTATTTGCTTGAATTTTCATTAGACAAAGTAAGAGTTGATTTAAAAGAATTTTTATTTTACAGAAAGAATTCATTTTCTAGCCGAATCAATTTTCATTTGTTCGAATTTACATTTGATAGAATATTGTTAAAATGACGAATTTTTATTTTACAAAATTTTCATTTGTCCGAATAAATATCTGGCTGAAAAATTTATGCTCTAATTTAAAAATTAAGAAATAAATCAACGTTTTAAGAATTCTATCAAATGTAAATTCGAACAAATTAAAAAAAAGCTAGAACTAGAAAAAAAATTCTTTCTAATATATTTTTCCTGTAAAATAAAAATTCTATAAAATCGACTATTCTTTCAAATTTAAATTGAATAAAATAAAAATTCGGCTAAATGTAAATTCTAGATAATGAAATGCTGTCAAATGAAAATTTTAACAAATTAATTTTAAAGTTGAGGTCAAATTTTAATCTTCATCCAAATGAAAATTTTAATTATTAGAAGTGGTAAAAATTAAAATGGCTAAAATTTTTACTGAAAAACTTATTAATTTTTTTTATTTAAAATATTTGTACAATAATGTGAAGTTTAACTTTTATTAGGTATACCAGAATAACCAAAATAATAACTGAATAATACCAGAATAAATAACAGTTGACTCTATATACTTAAATAGTGTTCAATTAAAATCGAAAGCTGTTACTTTTATATTTACATACAGTTGTATGAGAATGATATATTGCTGAAAGTTGTAGAAACATATTTCATAATAATTTTTTATGAACTTTTTTTTCACTAATTATTACAACTTGCATATAGATAATTTGCACGTAATTTGTCTTACTAACATTTTTGAGACATCGTTACTTCATTTCATATACCTATTACGCTAATATTTACCTATATTTATATTTATTTCCCATATAAAATTATGAGACTATAAATATGTAGTTTAAAATTTAAAAGACCGCAATATTTTAACTATATCAAAACCCAAGTGACATAGTATTCTCAATTATAAATATATAGTTTTTTAATTCAATAATATCTTTCATCTTGCGCATCTTAATTAGTTATCGTCCATATTTTCTGATTAAATTAAAATCTATAATATTATACATATTATCATTAAATCAATTCGAATGAAGAATAATATCGTGACCATTTATTATGAAACTCATTTTATCGAAAATCAAAATCCGCATCAATTATTGAGAAATGTAGTGAGTCAATTGATGATGTATGTGAAATGCATGATAATAGGCGTGGTCGATTCGTCAATATTCGGAGAATGCGAATTTTGACGATTGAATTGGCCAGGGTGTGAGAATGGTTCGAGGAGAGAGACTTTTCACTTTAATTTGAACCATTCAACTATAATCACTCTTAAACAGTATGACTATTGTCATCTAAATTTTATTGTAATTTATTATAAACTATTTTTAAAGTGAAGTGCCAGATTCGCGCAGTATTTAAAGAAGATTAATGATCTTAAGGAGTTAATTTCTCCGATGCCGAGGTAAATATAAAGAAAATAAAATAAATAAATGTAAAATCTAATTAAAGGCAAATTACTAAGAAAATGTCGTTATAGTGTGGCACTTCATTAGAGGCTATCGATTCACCATATTGAACGGAGCAATATAACACGGGCCTCTGGATCTTGGGATCCGGATCCATTTGCACGATTTCTTTTACACCACTTTGTCAACTTGGTTGAAGAGTCTCTCTCTCTACCTCTCACCGGAACATCACGTTCTCAGGGTGTGCGAAACCGAACATTGTTCGTTTAATGCGAAAGGGTATTTCTATATCTGGTAATGTACCTCAACAGATATCGTTTATTTAAATTGTATGTGTCTCATGTGGAGTGACTTTGCATTGATAAAAGATTAGAGCATACTATTTGTTAAAATCATAATCACGTTCAACTTTTTTATTGTTTTATAACCAGACGATTTATTTATTAAATTCAGATTACCAGAAATTTATTGTCCAATTCTTTTTTCATTATTAATCTCCTTCCGACATTAATAATATATTGTAACATACACGTTTATTATATTTAAATATTTTAACTTTAAAGTAAAGGGAGAGTCTATTTTAACCGATTAATTATCACAGTATTGATAATTAAATTAATTTATGAAACTTTCTTATATCAAATCAAATATATCCTTACATTTGGCGCCCAACGTGGGGCAATACAGTTCAGGACTGTTGTGATTGTATTGTTCATTTCACTTTCTAATTACTAATTAGTCATTTGATCAAATCAATAATATTGTGTATGAAAAGTAATTATTGTATGAAAGCGAATTGAGTGTGATTGTCTCTCTTTTCTCTCTTTCTAATATTTACTATAATTGTTTTTAAATTTGTTCGATTGAAATATTTGTGAATTTTATCAAGCGGAATTTTATTTAGTATAATGCAACGAAATTTTAATGATAATATGAATCGAAATAAGCCCTGGTCTGATTTATACTCAAATCGAGGTGATGATAGGCGTGACAGATCTCATATGTATGAGACGAACGATTTGCACAGACAAGAGGACGTACACGTCCTTAATTTACGTATAGAAATTTTAGAAAACGAAGTCAAAAGACTGAAAGAATTGTTTTTTAATCAGGGTTCATATCCTAATCATTTTGCGTCTTCTCGCGAAAATCAGATTGATTCGAGTTTCGATTGGTCAAGGTTAGCACGATACGAGATGACACTCCCGACATTCGCGGGAGAGTTATCCGATGATCCACAGGAGTATTTGCGCGACATCGACCAATATTTGCTTTTCAAAAAAGTTCCGTTTGAGTATGCTCCTAAAATTATACAAAATTCTCTCAAGGGTCATGCCCGGACTTGGTTTGATGCCAATAAATATGACATTATGAATTTCAATCAATTTTGTGACCGATTTCGAGAGGAGTTCTTATCGCTAGATGTACAGGAACGCAGAAGGGATCGGTGGCGTAGTTTGAAATATTATCCAAATCAAGAAACGTTGGTTAATTTCTTTTATAATCAGCGCAGTGAGGGTATGCGGATTCAACCACCCATGTCGAATTACGAGATAAATCGAATTATTATATCACAATTGCCATCTAACGTTCAGGTCGCGTTGGCTGGATCCGATTTATCAAATGTCAAACAGGTAGTGCATTCTCTGACTCGGATTGATGACGCTAATGCGAACACCGGTCAAAGAAATTTCGACAAATCGTCTAATAGGGACGATAGGAGTGCGCGGGGAAGTTCGCAGTTCAGCAGTGTAACGTCGAGTGCATATCGCGCCCCGCCTGAACCGCGACCGGCTGAAAATAAAGCACAAACGGAATCGGCAAATAGGTATGAGAATCAGAGTAAGGGATCTACATGGCGAAATAATTCTCAAAATTCGAATAATCGTGGGGGAAATATGCCGTCGAGAAACCAAACGAATGGGAATAGAAATTACGACAATTCGAACCGGTATCCGCCAAAAGCAAATTCTGGGGGTACAAGACCAAATAACGTCGCTGCCGTTGACACGCGGGAGGAGCTAGATAGTTCGGGAAGCCTCGAGAATCTTCGTAACCTGGCATGTAATGTAGGCGCGATTAATAGTGGGATAGACGATGTCCCCACTAACGAAGATGGAAATTATGGGGATGAGTATAGTCAGGATGTGGGGGATTTATCGACAAATAACGAAAATTCACGAATGTCGGGAAACGACAGAGTGGCTCGCGAGGATTAGGTCCTGCTCCGAGCCATAACGAAATTTTATCATACAAGGATCTGGTATATGATGCGTTAGGAGAGGAGAAACCACCTAACATACAAAAGCGGGGATCTCATAGTCCGAGAATCGTATTCGAGTTAATGGGTATCCAAATTCAAGCGTTATTGGACACAGGAAGTCACGCGACGTGTATTTCTCAAATAATGTTTGATCGATTAGAGAATCATAATAATGAAAATAAAAGTAAATATCTTTGGAAAGTCATGCCCGTGAGTAATTTAGCCATAACCGCAGCGTTCGGTAAACGAATTTGTAAAATTAAGAAACAGGTGTATGTAAATATAAATATCGATGGACGCAATCTTGAAACAATTTTGCTAGTGGTCCCGGGACTCGCTTATGATGTTATTCTGGGAACTGATTGGCTAGAAGAGTACGCGGTTAGCATAAATTATCAGAATAAGTCAATAACTCTAAAGGATCGAGAAATTTGTAGTCCTCGAGTTTCTTTTGATTCCCAATTACCTAGAGTTGCTTATGATCTCGATACCGTTACAGTTAATAATGGGATTCATTTGATTGAGTCTGCTCAGTCAGCTGACTTGAATGAATCATTATTGTCGGATAATTCGGAAGATCGGTTCGAGTGTATACTGTCAGATGGATATTTTGATGACTCCGATGGAAAACAGTTATCGTATATTAGAATTAATGCAATTCATAAAGTAGTCGAACAGGTAAATGGGATAGAGAGTTTAAGTGAATCCGAGAAAAAACAATTAATTGAAGTTATTGACGAATTTCCCGACGTGTTTTCCGATGAATTGGGAGCGCTCCGTCATTTTAAATTGAAATTAGAATTATCTGATTCACATCCGAGCATTCGCACGTCTTACCAAATTCCTATCGCGTATAAACCAGGGGTTTTAAAGGAATTAAAACGGTTGGAAGAAGCAAAAGTTATAAAAAAGGCAGCTACACCGTTTTGCAACCCGATTCGCGTTGTCCCGAAAAAGGACAATTCTGTGCGATTATGTCTTGATGCTCGACGATTAAATAAATATTTGATAAATGATAACGAGGGTCCGCCGCCTATAGAATCCTTGTTACAAAAGCATCATGGCAAAACGATTTTTACAATAATGGATTTATTAAAGGGGTATCATCAAATAAAATTATCGGAAGAATCAATGAAATATACTGGTTTCGTGATTGAGGGTCAGAGTTACGTTTTTTGTAGAATGCCATTTGGCTTGAAAATATCGGGAGCAATATTTATTCGAGCTATGAATGCCGTGTTTGATGAATCATTTGCGGAAATTGTCACGATTTATGTCGACGATATTTTGCTCGCGTCCAAGGACGTTCAACAACATTTTCATGATTTGAGAAGGGTTTGCAGGCGATTGCGAGAAGTCGGTCTAACCGTGAATTTAGAGAAAACGACCTTTTGTAGACGGGAAGTACCGTTCCTTGGATTTATTTTGACACCGCAAGGGGTAAAAGCGGATCCGGAAAAACTCAAAGCGCTTCAAAATATTCCGGAACCAACGTCAAGATTAGAATTACAGAGAGTTCTCGGAATTTTCGGGTATTATCGGCGTTTTGTTGTAGCATACTCCACTTATTTAGATTCTTTTCGCGATTTATTGAACACAAAGAATCGGTTTCAATGGACGGATTATCATAGTAGCGAATTTAGAAGATTGAAGGAAAGCTTTATCAAAGTAGTGGCGTTGGATAATTATTTGCCAAATAGAGAATTCCGAATGCAAACCGATGCATCAAAAAAAGGGATTAGTGCAATTCTTTACCAAATAGATGATCAGGGTGATGAAAGAATAATTTCGGTGATTAGCCGATGCTTGACCTCATGCGAGATTAATTATACGGCAACGGAAATCGAATTGCTGGCAATCATCGTCGCATTAATTAGATTCCGAATGTACTTGTTGGGTACGTTTTTTCATATCATCACTGATCATGCAGCACTGACATTTATGATTAAGACTCCATATCATAATTCGCGTTTGATCAGGTGGTCCTTGTTTTTACAGGAATATTCTTTTGATATCCGCCATTGTTCGGGTCGAGACAATTTGGTTGCTGATTATTTCAGTAGAATCATGCCAGATGTTTATTTGAATGAACATGCTGCTGATGTAATAGTGTCGGTGTTGGCAAGATATCGTGATGAGCTAGCGGAAAGCTCAAATACTACCGAGTTAATGGTTGGATCGATAAACAAGATCGATATTCCGGAATTGGGTCATATAAAAAGTTGGCAACAAAAGGACCAACAAATTCGCGATACAATTGATGAAGTCAATCGAAAGAATTTAACGGAACCGTATTGCGTGCGAGATGACGTGTTATATTACAAAAAACGAAATGATAAAACGTGGAAGCTCGTGGTCCCACAAGAATTGAGAAAAAATCTTATCGATGAGGTTCATGAGAGAATGGGTCATCTCGGGGCATATAAAACATACGCCGAATTGAGCCGAACATATTATTGGCCGGGGATACAGTCGGATGTAAAGAAACGCGTTGTTGCGTGTGATCTTTGTCAGCGTGTCAAGACTCAAAATTTTACCATGGAAGGGTCATATATGCATGTGAGCGCGAAAAAACCGAATGAACTCTTGTGCATTGATTTCTATGGTCCGCTGCCAAGGTCAACCGCGGGGGTACAATATATCCTTGTAATATTGGATGCGTTTTCGCGATTTGTTACCCTGTATCCAATGGTTAAAGCTACGGCTCGAATGACAACTATAAAATTGGCGAAATATTTTGAGACTCATGGGGTTCCCAAGCGTATTCTGTCGGATCACGGTACCCAGTTTACCTCCCATCAATACGGCGCGTTTTTACTCGAAAATGGTGTGGAGAAGGTATTGTGCTCGATTAGGCATCCGCAATCTAATCCCTCCGAGAGAGTGATGCGTGAGCTAGGGAGATTTTTCCGTACGTATTGTAGTGAGCAACATACTCGATGGGCTAGGTACATTAATAAAATCATGGATTGGGTAAATTTATCCGTAAATTGTACTACGAGATACACTCCATTCGAACTGCAATACGGAAAATCGCAAAAAGATAAAATTCGAGAAATTTTGAACTTTCCACCGGAAATTGCGGAGACGCCAGAGATTAAAATTGAAATCGCGCGCGAAAAGATTGATAAAGTGTGTAAGAAACGACGTGAAAAACAAAGTTCATTTAATGACACACCTATCCATGAAGGCGATCTTGTACTGTTAAGGATTCCTCACAGATCAGATAAAGAAGATCGCGTAATATCGAAGTTTTTTCATATTTACCATGGACCTTATAAGGTTCATAGAGTCATTAATCGAAATGCATATGAATTGGCAGAGCGGGACGATCCTTTAGAGATAAAAGGAGTATACAATCGGATTGATTTTAAAATATATAAGACGCAAAGTGATTAAAGAATTCACTTAAGGTACAATTATTCCGTAAGCGTAAGAAAAGTAATTTATTTAGGAAAGAGAGATAGTGTGATAATATGTAGTGTATTGTGAGTGGTTGTAAATAATGTAGAAACAAATTTGTAAGACTATGTAAATTAAATGTTTAACGATTCAAAATGACATATATCATTGTATCCTCGTTAAAAGGGGGCTGATGTAGTGAGTCAATTGATGATGTATGTGAAATGCATGATAATAGGCGTGGTCGATTCGTCAATATTCGGAGAATGCGAATTTTGACGATTGAATTGGCCAGGGTGTGAGAATGGTTCGAGGAGAGAGACTTTTCACTTTAATTTGAACCATTCAACTATAATCACTCTTAAACAGTATGACTATTGTCATCTAAATTTTATTGTAATTTATTATAAACTATTTTTAAAGTGAAGTGCCAGATTCGCGCAGTATTTAAAGAAGATTAATGATCTTAAGGAGTTAATTTCTCCGATGCCGAGGTAAATATAAAGAAAATAAAATAAATAAATGTAAAATCTAATTAAAGGCAAATTACTAAGAAAATGTCGTTATAGTGTGGCACTTCATTAGAGGCTATCGATTCACCATATTGAACGGAGCAATATAACACGGGCCTCTGGATCTTGGGATCCGGATCCATTTGCACGATTTCTTTTACACCACTTTGTCAACTTGGTTGAAGAGTCTCTCTCTCTACCTCTCACCGGAACATCACGTTCTCAGGGTGTGCGAAACCGAACATTGTTCGTTTAATGCGAAAGGGTATTTCTATATCTGGTAATGTACCTCAACAGATATCGTTTATTTAAATTGTATGTGTCTCATGTGGAGTGACTTTGCATTGATAAAAGATTAGAGCATACTATTTGTTAAAATCATAATCACGTTCAACTTTTTTATTGTTTTATAACCAGACGATTTATTTATTAAATTCAGATTACCAGAAATTTATTGTCCAATTCTTTTTTCATTATTAATCTCCTTCCGACATTAATAATATATTGTAACATACACGTTTATTATATTTAAATATTTTAACTTTAAAGTAAAGGGAGAGTCTATTTTAACCGATTAATTATCAAAGTATTGATAATTAAATTAATTTATGAAACTTTCTTATATCAAATCAAATATATCCTTACAGAAAGAGTATCTTTTTATGGAATGCAATAAATTTTAATCTTTATTGGCTGATTTTTTTTTAGAATATTATAATAATTATATCCATAAAAAATAATTACAAAACAAAAATTATTTTAGTTCTTTTTGAAAAATGCTTTCAATTTACTTAAAAAATAACCCCGAGTAACAAGTTTCAAGGAAATAAGGTGATTTTTTCAAATTTTTGGTCACCATACTAGATTTGACATTTTGTATTTTTTAAATTAATTTAATTTTCTTATTATTATTATTATTGTAGGTATTTATCCTACGGTTTGCTTATTAAATAAATAAAGAAGGAGAAAGAATTCAAAGTAAGGTTACACTAAAAACAAACGATATTTATTAAAAGTTCAATAAATTTATAAAGTGCTGAACACGAGAGAGAGTTTAAGAAAATGTAGCGAGTAGCTTGTAGTCAGCAGAGTACTGACTCCGCCAGAAGGGCTTGTACATTTCGTACCCAAAAAGGGCAATGTTGCCGTGGTCATTTATATAA